TCATGTTGTCAGAAGGGACCATTCCCTGGAGAAGGATGTCATGCTTGGTAGGGTGGAGTGTTGGCAAAAGATGGGTAGGCCTTCAAGGAGATGGATTGACATGGTGGCTGTGGCAATGGGCTCAAGTATAGCAAGGATCATGGAGCTGGTGCAGGATCTGGCGGTGTTTCGTTCTGCTGTGCATGGGGTCGCTATGAGTCAGAAACGACTCAACATCACCTAACAATAACAACAACGACTTGACAACACACAACAAAGCAGCAGCAACTATTACAAAAGTTGAATACATAATTTAAACATTCTCACAAAACAAAACTTCATGCTCATATAGCTTCATCAGTGAGTTTTTCTAAATATTTAAAAGAGAGGTAACAAATCTTACACACATTCTTTCAGGGTTTCGAAAAAGAAGGAACACTCTCCCCACTCATTTTATGAGACCAACATAACTTTGATTCCAATAGTCAATGAGAATATTACAAAAAAACATAATTTCAGATGTACAGAATCCAATGATAATTAAAAGGATAATATATCATAAGGAAGATAATTTGTTCTAGAAATTTTAAGTTTAATAATTGACAATTTCATCTATATAATTCACTAAATTAACAGAACAAAGAAGAAAAATCATATGATATTCTCAATAGAGTAGTAGGTTAATAAGGGAAAATTCCAATTAATCTGTGTCTTTACCAACACTCACTGTCTTCCCTTTTGTTTTATTCTGTTCTGTTTCCTTACCATTAGCCCCCTCCATGGGGCAGGTATTGCTTTATTGCTATAATATGATGCAAAAGAAAACAAGCTGATTATAAATGAATTTATTAGAACAAAATAGTAATGCCTGTAAAACCTATACAACATAGTAATAATCTCCTCCCAAAACACACAGACACTCTGATATTTGTGGATAATTGAAATAGGGAAAAATAAACAGATTAAGTTGAAGTATATATTTTGAAAAGTATATGTTTTTTTTTCTGAAAAAAAAGTAAAATTTCTCTCAGAAAAAGCATAACAGGAAAATTTTCACTATAAGAGTAAATTATGGCTCTCATTTGTATTTCTAAAAGACTATAAAAAATGTTTTAATGTTTTTCTCATTTCCTCAAACTTCATAAAGCACTTTCTTTTCTGTAGACTTCTGTCTATTTTAGGAGCTCTGGTACTGTAGTGCCTAAGGCATTTGACTGCTAAGCAGAAGGCTGGTGGTTCAAACTTACCAGCCACTCCTCAGAAGGAAGGTTGGGCAATCTACTTCTGTAGTGATACCAGCTTGGAAACCCGAGGAGGGGTCGCCATGAGTTGGGGCCGACTTGTTGGCACATAACAACAACAACTACCTATTTTATTGATTTTTAAAGAATATTCTGTCAACTCATAATGGAAAAAAAAATCAATGATCAAATAAACTATGTTTTGGTTTAAACAAGGCAGACATGAATTATTTTTCTGTAAAAGTTTCATTTTTACAGAATAATATTAAAGTATTTTTGTATCACAATGAAATACTAATACTACAACATAAAAGGGTAAACAACTTGTAACTTTCGACTGAGTGATTTTTGTATCAGTAGGAGTTCTGGTTGTGTAGCGCCTAAGGCATTTGACTATTAACCAGAAGGCTGGTGGTTCAAACCCACCAGCCACTCCTCAGAAGGAAGGTTGGGCAATCAATCTACTACCACAGTGATACCACCTCAGAAACCCAAGGAGGGGTTGCTATGAGTTGGATCTGACTCAATGGCAATCAGGTTTTTTGTTTGTTTGTTTATGTGATTAGAAAATAATTAACTTGCAAAATACAGTACAGGCAGTGTAAATCTCACTGAGTTCCTGTAGTAGCCTGCTGTTCTCCTATATATTGCTTCAGGTGAAAAGAGGCTTTGCTAGTCTTTGAAATACACTTTGGATAAAGAATCATTTTAGATTCTTATTTTGCTACATTTACTGGAGAGCTCTGTTTTAGATACACATAAGCAATTTCTCCATCTGGTGGTGAAAACATTGAACTTCAGACCTAGGGATCTATTAAGAAAATATAAGATGTTTTCTATGTGTGGAAGTACTGTCATGTCAGTGATAACACATGGTCTGATAAAGGCAGCTTCTTGTCCAGATCAAAAAGTAGAACAAGTTAGTTATCTAGCACAGTGAGTACACCTAATACAGGGTGCAGGGATATTAAGGGATGGATAATGAAATCAACATAATGGTTACCTGGCAAGATACTTGTGGTTCATTTCCATCAGTGGTTTTCTTTATCACACAAAACACTACAGCCTAAAATAGTGCACCTCTTTTCCTAGATGTGTTGGTGTGGAGCAATGACCGGGTTATTCGTTGGATACAAGCAATTGGACTTCGAGATTATGCAAATAATATTCTCGAGAGCGGTGTGCATGGCTCACTAATAGCCCTGGATGAGAACTTTGACTACAGCAGCTTGGCTTTATTATTACAGATTCCAACACAGAACACTCAGGCAAGCCCCTCTGTGCAATAGCTTCACTGTGCCCTGGTTTATATAATGACAAAGTAAACTTGTAGAAAAAGAGTTGTTGGCTGTATATTTATGGTTCCTAATGAGAGTTAACTCAACCTTTGAAATATGTCATTGGGGTATTAATTTCAAGCTACTGGATTTCTAGTCAAAACAGAAACCTAAAATTAAAATGGGAAGGGATTTAGCAGTTGTCTGGGCCAACCTCCCACCTGAATGCCAGGTTCCCCAAAACAATTCCCCTGACCAGATGGTTTTGAGTCTCTGCATCTCTTACTGAATTCCATTTGCATGTCTAAATTATACAGGCACTTAGCATTGAATATGGAGTGATTTCCAAATCTGGATAATTATTTGAGTCACCAGAGTTCCTTAAAAATTAAAATTAAAGCCTCTAACTCACAGCATGACCTAAGGAATCAGATATCAAGAGATAGGTCACAGAAATGTTTATTACCTAAAGTTCTCCCATATAATGATTACCAGTCAGATTTGAGAATTACCTGTATAGACTGCATAAGTATTTGGCCATCCAACTGCACCTTTGTTTTTATATATTGCAATGTTTATTTAAAATACTCAATTACAATAAAGCAACAAATTGACATCAAAGCCCCTTCACCACAGAAATTTATATGAGGCTATCTCCATCCTCAGGAGCTCTGGTGGCATATGCCTAAGGCATTTGACTGCTAACCAGAAGGCTGGCTATTCAAAAGCACCAGCCATTCCTGGGAAGGAAGGTTGGACAATCTACTTCTGTAGTGATACCGCCTGGGAAACCCAAGGAGGGCTCACTATGAGTCAGATCCAACTCAACGGCAGTGCGGCAGTGCGTTGCCTTTGTTGTTTATCTCCACCCTCATAGACAAAAGAAAATAACTCTTGTTACCAGAAGCTCTGGTAGCATAGTGCCTAAGGCACTTGACTGCTAACCAGTAGGCTGGTGGTTCAAATCCACCAGCCACTCCTCAGAAGGAAGGTGGGGCAATCTATTCCTGTAGTGATACTGCCTTGGAAACCCAAGGAGGTGTCACTATGAGTTGAGGCCAACTCAACAGCACATAATAACAACAACACTATTTATACCTAGAATTTCCAATGACTTGTTTACCTGAAAGAATGGAAACTTAAGACTTCATAAGTAAAGCATATTTGGAATGAATTCTCAGATCACTATAGTCTATATTATTTCTTTCAATAAAATTATAGTAACTGCAATTTGGTCTCAACAGGCAAGGCAGATTCTTGAAAGGGAATACAATAACCTCTTGGCCCTGGGAACTGAACGGCGACTAGATGAAGTAAGTCCTTACCTCTTTTCACAAAGAGTCTTACAGAGTATAAGAAACATGATAGCATACTCTGAATTTAAGGGATAATACTTGCAAAGTAGCTAGATACATTTCCATGGCTAGAATTTAGTGTTTTGTTCCCCAGTACCAGTATTGTTCTTCAATATCTTATATTACTCATTTGACTTTTGGGGGAAGAAAATTTTATCTATCTATCTATCTATCTATCTATCTATATGTATCTATATATTACATATATAGATATAAATATATAGTAGATGGAAACAATAATAATTCAAACAGAGACTTATTTACATAAGCTTTGATTGCAAAATAATGTTGAAAAATACTTTAAAAACTATAAAAATAACAATATTGATTAATCCATTTCTTAAATAACAGAATATATTCATAGATAGTTTAGGATATTAAAATGAGGGAAAAACTTACTTTCAACAAACAATAAGCTTTTCATTATTTTATAAGTTTTTATTAAAAAGAGATGAATAACATCCTAACAATTATTGTACTTGAAAACAACATTGAGTGTAAGAATCCCTATATATAAAATATGCATGTCTAAATGATTGGGAAAGTAACAAGCATACTGAGATGATTCATACTAAAGGGCATTGGCCAATCTTGTGAATTCATAATTTCATTACAAATTCTTCTAGAAATTTTTTCAAGATCTTTCTGGAAGGAAGCCTGAGTATAAAGTAGAACATACAGAAGTGCATCATGTCTTGTGAAATGTAGTTACTCTTGGCTATAGAAATAAATTAATTAACATAGTTTTATAAATAAACCCAACATATGCTAAAATAAGGCAGTAGTTCGATATTCAAATGGGCAGGGCAGATGCACTTGTTATTGTAAAACCCAAACTGTCTTTGTGGAGATCATAGGCTGATAAGGTCTACTATCTTGACCTAAGGTATTTTCCTATAACCTTAGAAACCTGCCCTATCAGGATAATGACTAATGTTTTGTAAAGCCAGTAAACATTTAACCACTTTTAGTCTCTTGGAAACTGTTTGACAATCTTTTAAATCCCTATTTCTAATTATTAATTCAAAAATAATCTTATAAACTCATACATGCATTTAAATACATTATTCTCTTTACCTGAAATTACAAAAAGAATTTTAATTAAAATCACAAATCACAATCATAAAATGATTGATTGACCTGCCAGTGTTTTTGTTGGAGATACTAGCCTGTGCGGGTTATAGTTTTGCTTCCCCATAGTAATGGACAAGGAGAAAGGTCCATTGGGTGAATTCAATGGGATGGGGCTCTCTGCCTTTCAAATATGCTGCTGCTTTTTCTGATAAGCACTGCACATCATTTGTATCTTTCAAATCCTGTCATATCTTTTGCTCTAGTTTACTGTTTTGTTTCATTGTGAGGAAAAATAGCCAAACTTGCCTAGAACTAGAATGACCTTTGTCTTGGGGCCTTGCTGATCACATTCAGATTCCACTTACTGGAGTAATCTGAGGAGTGATGATCTGATTCTTTGAACACAAGTGAAAGAATAGCTGTTATATTCATCTCATGAAAACTCTCCCCCCAGTGATGTTGTTCCTTGTAGTTCCTATTAACTTTCTACAGTTAACTTTGTTGAAAGAAGTAAGAATTTGTGATTCAGACTCTCAGTTTACTAGTTTACTTTTAAGTCCTTAACTAGCACATTACAGGAGTTGTGTACTCTATGGTGTAATGTAGCATTTGGTAGAACTGAAGAACATTCATGTGTATGCAACAACTTCTCCAAGAATCAAGAAGTAAGGGTGGCCTCAGCAGTGAAATGCTGTTGGTTTTCAATATTGCAAACATTTGGAGGTCTGGGGCAATGTGCAACCCAGCAGTTGTGAAAGGAGTGGCAGACATCTGTTATCTAATCAAAACTTATATATTGACAGTATTCTAATAGAATAGTGGATGTAATGCAATTATATATAATTGGTTGCATTTTCTGTATATTGACTTTGAATGAAACTTAGTTAAACTAGAAGTCTATGAAGCCCTCATGTAGTGATGGTAATATGAGCTGAAAATATCAGCCTAGGATTCTATATACCATAATGAAATTCACTGAGCTAATATGGCCAACAAGTCATACTTGACTTTTACTTCAGGGAATGGACAAACTTTAAGTGAGAAATTTAAGTATAAAAGGTCAAGATCTTTTTACTATGATCAATAATTTCTTTAGAATTAGATGCAAAGAACACTATTACTTATAATTCATTACCTTGGAAATAGAAGAATAAAAAATAGCAAACATCATTTACTAAATTTCATGTTACTGCTTTCCAATTTAGAGAAAATAGTTAGGTACCCTGGGCCTTGTGTGCAAAGAGAGGGAAGCGATTATGTTGAAAATAAAAAAAAAAATAATCAATCAAAGTTACTTTAAGCTTTTAGTGGCATCTAAAGAGAACATGTCTTTATTGAAAGGATGGTGCTCAAGTTGCACAGGTTTTTCAACAAATTGCAAGTTAGTTTTCTGTCGGCTGAAATCTAAGAAATGACAAGTATAGAATTTTTTTTCATAGGTAAGTTACAGTATCACATATGAATCAGGCTGCCCCATATATAAATGTTTCACATATATACATATATCTTTTTTGTACACAAATCAAACTTCATAAAACATAGTTATTCAAGTGTGTGTCAAATAGAATTTATTCCACAACAGTCAATTAGCTATATCATCTTACGTGGTAAAATCAGTTGGAATAAAGTGTCACAAAGTATATTCAACATGCTTTTGAAAAAGACTGAGGTTTTGTTTTAGATTTTCAGAGATGTTTTCTCTATAACTGGCAGACATTACATTTGAATAATTTGAAGTATTATAAAAATACATTTCTGTTTCAAAGTCTTCTAAGTTCTCATTTTGGGATCATATAAAGCATAATATTTAATATACACATACACACAACATATTTTTACACCAATAACACATACATTATATGATTTATACAAACTGTGCAGTGTCTTCACCTGTTAGGTTCCTATGTGTGCTATATACATTATATGTGAAAAAACATGGTATAAATAATATATGTGTGTGTGTGTGTGTGTGTGTATATTTGACAGACTCAATGTACATTATCTATGTACATATATCTAAGCACACAGTTTTATACACCTTGATTAGTTTACTTTTTAAAATTTATTTATTTCATCAAATTATAATTCTGCACTGGCAGAGTGATGACAAGAATTTCAGACGTGGGTCAACATGGAGAAGGCAATTTCCTCCTCGTGAAGTACATGGAATCAGCATGATGCCAGGCTCCTCAGAAACATTACCAGCTGGATTTAGGTTAACCACAACATCTGGACAGTCAAGGAAAATGACAACTGATGGTACAGTAGTTTTGCACTTCCGCTTATAAACTACAAAGCATATTTAGCAAAAGCTAGCATCATTCTCCGATCTTGCATAGCTTTGTGGGGTTGATTGTTTTCTTGAGTTGGTTTGCTGTGCTTGAAATTTGCTTTGCTTTATCAAAACCCAGACTCCTTTGTAAACTGCTAATGCATGAATCCATGGCACTTTATTCACACTTGAAAAACTGGATAGTATTCTAAAAAGAGCAATTTTAGCTGATGTCCACATCTAGGAGGAACAATAACATTTGTATGACTTGTGTTTCTTTACTTCTATTCCCAGAGTAACTACTTTGTTCAAGTTGGAGGTTGGATTTGGACTACAGGCTCTGTCATCATACATTGAACATTGAGAGTTTTATATGTCATCCTAGAAACTCAGACATATTGGATATTGTCACCTCTGATAAGGCATAAGGTCTTAAATGAACAAGTATAGCCATGAGAAGAGAAGTGAAGAAACACAAAACCATCAGTAACTTCCTAATAATATTTCCTTACATAGTTCATAAAGAAATAATGGCCATAGCTGGGAGAAAAAACTTTGAAATGGTAGTCACAATGTTTTTTTCTGTTTGATAGATATTAAACAAAACAAAACAAAACAAAAAGAACACACACACATTCTGTATTAAAATAATCATATAGTCATTTTTTCTTTTCAAGGCCATAGCTATATGGTCCTTAAAATTAGTTCCAACATAAAACTTGATCTTTGCTCTGCATTTCTTATAATCTGTTAACATTGTGAAGCTGTTAGCAAAATTCACGAGGAATTTAACATGATTAAAAAGTAGTTTAGAAACTGTTCAATAGTTGGAGGAAAAGATACCATATTGACTTCTCTAAAAACAACTTTTGCTTCAAAAACAGAAGCACCCTGGGGAGCTGCTCATCTAAGTAGAAATATACAGCAATTTAAAAGCTCAGTTGAATTGCACTGGAATAATTTTTCATTAATAATTTGGTTTAGAGCAAAATAATGTGAGTGGCTTCCATCTGAGAGACAGAAAGTCTATTACATATCCAGGGCCCCTTTATACAGGGAAAATAAATCTTTCTCATCTGAAACTTTGTACTCAATCATCTGAGTCCTGCTAAAGCCCTTTTCTCCATTTGCAGTTGCTTCATCAAGACTGCAGAGGTTAGACAACTCCACTGTTCGCACATACTCATGTTGACAAGCCACTCAAAGGAGGCAGCACTGACCTGCTGTGAGTAGTTTCCCTTGACTGCCAAAAAGCAAACCAACAAAAGGCTGGAACCTACAAAGACTAGTAAATAAACACTGTAGTCTTTGCTATGGCCTGGCAGTACAGAAGCAAGAATAACTAATCCTTATATATTGCTAGAAATCTTTGTATTGTAGTTTGATCCAGTATTTCCTATCACCTTCTGTCTGCTATGGTTTAGGTGTCTCTTGGAAGCCTGTCAGTCTACTTCCACATCAATGTGTTGCTTAAGCACTGTCTTCTAGTATTTGGTAGTATTTTGTAATGATTCATATAGCTTGTTCTTGATGATAATATTACACTAATACATTTTTAAGTGAATATATTTATAGAGGGAGCTGAAGTTGGCAGACAGTGATTTCAGCAGGTTCACAAAGTCAACAGTGGAGGAGACAGAAAAATGATTTAGAGATGGTTTCATATTAAGAAACAAAAGTCAAGACCATTGACATTTTGAACTTTTAGTGTGTTGATTTTCATCAAGGCAATTTGCATTTGTTGAAAACAAACATAAATTTTAAGCATCTGTGGGTCTCAATATAGGAACAAAATAATATTACTTTATGATACTGGAGCAAAGGACTAACATAAAATCTTACCATATAACCCTATGATATAAGACATTTGTGTTTAGAGAAAGATTAATTGATAAAAGTTACTTCCAGATGCATATGAAGCAGACTCAGCTTTCTTAGATTTATAAATGGGAAAATGCTCACAAAACTCATTTTTTTTAACAGCAACAAAAACAAAATTGTGCTTTGCCAAAATATTCTACCACTTTCAATGAATGAACATTTTCAAAAAATACTTTTTAGAGAAATATTTAGAAGCAGCTTGTGTGCAGAGAGATAGGGAGAGGGAGCAGCTGCAGGCAGAACAGCTCACCTTGTGCTACTTCTTCACTGCCTTGAACTAAAAGCTCCACGCAATTTATTATTGGTTACTGGGGTCTAACAGGAGGGATGGTTATGCTGCCTTATTTGAGTCACTGTTTGAACCTTATGAAGATTGTTTTTAAGCATTTAGATAAGATATCTAAAGAATACACAAGCCAAAAATGAAAAATTTAACTATGGTGTACAATTTGGCATTTAATTTGGCACTATCAAAAGTATATATTAGTTTGGCTGAATAAGAGGCTTTCCTAAATAGTGTTTATAATAGCTTCTACACATAGCATGGTAATTCCCCTAGCAGCTATGTACTCCACTAATTGTCAAATGACCACTTAGTATGTTCAGGAGTGCTTGCTTTTTCGTTCTTGATGGATGGGTAGAATTCCTCTTGAGCTATTTGCAATCTGTATTTTGTGCATGGCATTCTAGTTCATATTTCTTAGTTTTACCTTTAGAATGGCTAAAAATATTTATTTATAATAAGTTAACTTAGGACAAACAATTTCACTTTTGCTAAAAATTGTAAGTTTGTTATTTAATTCAGGGCACATTATTTACTGAGTTTTTTGTTTTTTTTTTTTAAATTTGTGTAGGAATAGTAATTATGGGGTTTTCATAATGTAATTATGGCTGGAAAGATAAATGATGCCACATCTCTGGTGCAGATCCTTTAAATGTTATTAATAGCCTTTGGACTTTGTCACAATTGAACAAAGGGATCTTTTTGAGAGCTCTGAAATATATGAACTAGAATATGAATCTATTCATATGAACCTATATGGAATAGGTCAACTCAACCCAATATATTAATTAGAACATTTTAAACTTTTCAAAAAGCATGCTGATATTTTGTGAATACCTTTGCTTATATTTATGCCATATTTTCCACAAAATGGAGTAATTCTTTTCATTTATTAAACGCCTCTGCACAAAATTGGAGAAGAGCAAATGTTAATTATGTACAGCTATTGGTTAGACCTTTGATGATTTCCTTTTCATTATCTCTTAGTGTTAGGACCAGAGTAGGCGGGCTGCATGACAGAGCAACATAGTGCAGTAGAGGGAGATTTTCTACTCTGGGACTTTTCAATGAACTAACACTGTCCATTAAATATTTTAGATGTCATCTTTTCAGTCTACTCTACCTAAAGTGCACTACCATCAAAGAAGACGAGTAGTGAAACCTTTGTGAAGACTGAGTTCTAAGAAAATTATGAAAAGTAGTGGTTCATTATGCTGACCATGTAATTTGAGGAAGAGTCAGATACCAAGTTTGATTAGTTTACTACAATTATAATAAAATACTTAAGTCATTTGAAAACTAAGCATCATCCACATCATAAATTCTGTACAACAGAAGCTTTTCTGAAATGGAGACACTTGTTTTATCATGTTTTATTGTAATATACTAGGCATTTATGTATGACTGTGTATGTATTTCTTTTTAAATGTGTAAGTCTTATGTAAATGGATATAAATATGATTTTTTTAAAAAATAAAATATATGGTTCATGGAGTCTCGAGTGCAAACATTTGACAATTACAAGTATTGTTTGTATTTTACCATTCCACCATTTTTACAGTTTTTGAATTGTTAACAGTCAAATCAATGTTTCCTTGAAGCAGGAAACATGCTTTACCATGTTTCTCCTTCAAGTCTGTCGATACTTAAAGCTGAACACCTGCCTCTGATCATGTATGAAAGAATGATTTAACCTGGAACTGGAGCCAAAAAATGGACCTTTAAAGGCAATCAGGGATGTCCTTTATCTTTAGAAAAGCACTGTGATGGCTCGATCTCCTTTTCAATACAAAACAAAGCCAAACTGTTTATAAGAGTTAAAGCAATTGTTTAAAAAAAAGAAAAAAAAGTTTATATATATATTAAAA